ATAAGCAAAACATTTCCAATTGCTCAAACTCACCACCTGGCCTTTGAATGCAGCTAGATACACCATTAGTGTATTAACATGTTTATGCAATACATGTATCCCCTCAAATTTAAATCTCTCTTTACATGGTTTGACACTGAACTATTAAACTTTGGCTAAGCCATCATTTTTCCTCACAATTCTCCACTAACAGCAACAGTAGGAATGACCTAGAAGTAAGTAAGATCAATAACCAGTGGCTATCAAAACTTTCCATTCCTGAAATAACTGCAGATGAGGAAACAAAATAAATAAGTAAATAATAACCAATTTTCTGCATATGTAAAATCCTTCATAATTAATATGCTAAGCCTTGGGAACAATTACTCTTAAATCCATCGACACTATCTGGTAGTTTCACTCTGCAGACTTCCCGCAGCCCAAGGCGAGGGTTCCCAAAGCACCAGGCTGCTCCAGAAGCAGGGAGCTGAGCAGAAGCATCATGCTGCCATGGCTCTAGAAGCTAACTCTTGGGTTCTCCTGCAAACTACCCACTGCATAAAGGATTTCTCTTACTGGCACGCATCAGATGCTGACCGCTCCTCTTACAACCTTTACTGGTGCTGCTACCTGCAAGCAATCTGCACCAGCTCATAACAGCTGTGGCACTTCTGCAATGCATCAGTTGCCTGCGAGGTCGCTGCGGTTATGCTGGAAGTATCATCAGAACTAGTGTGACCAAGCATACTACAGCTCTCTGTGCTGTGTCTCAGCACAGCCTGGTTATACATCACACTGGTAGTGCACTGTGGCTGCCTTCACAGAGTACCTACCATACTATGTGTGTTTTCTTTCGAAAACACCTCTAACCCAAAGCACACGTGCTGCTGCATGTATTCATAATGGACAACTTTTCAACCCATACTACTTGCTGTTCCTAAAAATTGCCATCATAGCCCAATTTAGTCTTTCTGTGCAAAAAGATACAAATGTAACAAGCACAAAAAAAAAAGAAATCAGAACCATTTTGTTTTAAAATGCTGATGTAGAGCATAGGTTTCACATACACTGAATTTAGATGAATACTGGAAGATTTTATGTCAGAAAGTTCTCATTTTACAACAGTAGCCACCAGAGAACAAAATGTGCTCCCCCAATGAGTTTCTAAATCAAGTCCTGCGATGATCATCAAAAGGACTCTGATGAAAGTACATGCCTCACAAACTTTTTAAAATGCTGCCAGACATATGCAGCAGCTGTAGCTGCTTGACCAGTTTAGCCTCACCAAGTTTCAATCTCATAAATTAACAGTATGGAGGTATACACCAGTTTCTTGTACCATTAGGTGCATTAAGTGGATGATGTAAGTGCACTTGACAGACATCAAAACAGCTATGAACCATGTGACTAAAAAATCAGTGCAGTTCTACCTGTACATAAAACCACGCTACTTGCAAGGAGCAAGCTCAGCCCAATCTTGGTCGAGTTACATTTACTGATGCCAGGAACCCAGTCTGAAATATTTTTAACACAACCTTAAGAATCTACAAGAAAAACTTGCATTGCTAATATGTAAGAGGTAAATGATGGCAGTGATGAAAATAACGCATTTGCCACTGCTTTTAAAGACAGGACCACCCTACCCTAAGCGTCAGCATTCTTTGTTATATATATTTGTATCTTATATCATAACTTCATCAAATGCCAGGATTATTAATAACCACTGATTTTCTCACTGCAAAGATACTTATTAAGAAAACTATGCTGCAAAAATCTAATTATATTTGTTTACAGGACTGTTTGGGCTTTAATGGTATAATAAATGTATTAATAAACATTAAGGAGCAGGCAGTGATATTGTAGTAAAAATAATTCTAGCTGTCAATGCTTTAGGATAATTTAGTAGTGCTCTGAGAAAATACAACTGAAAAGATTGTGCCCTTTGTCCAAGGCACAGCATTCAACTACACTGCCAAACACCAACTTCATTTGTCAGAAAGGCAGAAAGCTTCTGCAGACTGGCAGCTCCATAGATGAATAAGACCCAGTACCTCCAGGGTGAGCCCAGCAGTGACCTGGCCCGCTCTGCCTGCTGAAAGGCAAATCAGCACGTGTATATCCATAGTAGCCATAGGATGTAATTAAGGAAAGTGAAAGGAGATGAGTGACAGTGGGAAAGTTTATAGGACTTATGGTGGAAATTAAACTCATGGGGCTGGATGTTGGGAGGAACAACAGCAATGATGCTGACACGTGGTGGTGTGCTGAAGGGACTCGAGTTTGAATTGGGGCAATGGCGGTGGAAACGCCGGGTTACACCTGAGGAACATCTCTTCGACACGGCAAAGACAAGAGCATGCACATTGCTGCAGCACTGCCTTTTTATCGAGGAACAGTTTGATGGCTACGATGATCTTTTAAGAGAAAAGGAAAAAAAAACACACCGTGTTTTTGTGCGACATTTACGTATTAACCAACCTAAGCCAAAGCACCCCAGCACCAACCCTGAGCGGCTGCCCGCTCCTTCTACTTACAATCACTATTTCGAACGCTGCGGCCGGCACCGTGTGACTGACCTACTTTCGCTCGCCCACCGACGCACACACACCAGCCCGCAGCGCGGGAGCTGCCCCGAGGAGGACCGCGGCTGGGAGCCCTCAGCGGCCGCCCCGGGCCCCGCAAGGCTCTCCCGCGGAGGGCGGACCGACGAGGGGTTAAAGCGGGAGGCCGGGGGCGGCTACACCTACCTCCGGGCGGCAGCGGTGCCGGGGCCGCGGCTCCTCCCGTCGAGCCGGCAGAAAGGGAGCTCGCGCGGAGCATAAAGCCAGAGGCGGCGGGCCGCGCCTGGGGGCCGAGCAGAGGGGCAGCGGCCGAGGCACGACCGAGAGGAGGAGGAGACGGAGGAAGGGGGGACCCTGGACTTCCTCCTCCCCGCCGCCCGCGGTCGGGGGAGCCGCCCCCCGCCGCGCCGCCCGCGCACCGTCGCTCCCAGCCCGGCCCAGCAGGGCCCGGCCTCGCCCCCGGGGTCCCGCCCGCCCGGCCGCCCCCCGCCGCGTTACCTTCGGCGCTGCCCAGAGAGGCCGCCGGCGCCATGTTCCCCCTCCGCGGGCGCCCCGCACTGCCCGTCACTTCCGCCACCACCTGCGGGCCCGGGACGGCGGCCGGCGGCGGGAGGCCGCGCCCCGAGAGGCAGAGGCTGCGCCGCCTTCGCCCGGCCCGGTCCCGCGCGTTCATCCCCGCCCGGCGGCGTTCCCATACCAGCCAGGCATCGGCCGGGCCGCATCCGTCGGCCGCGGGGATCCCGGGCGGATGATCCCCCGGAGAGGGAAAGGCTCTCACCGGGGACCGGGAGCGGCCGCCGCTGGGGATCGGGAATGCGGTTCCAAGGAGCGTCATCTGCTTGGCTCGTCCGCAGGCGGCTGCAGGGCTGGCCGCGTCGTCTCGTCCTCCCGCTCGCTGCGGCCCCTTTCGGCTCCCGCACCGCAGTTCCCACTCGCCTCGGGCGGCAGCGCGGCGGGGACAGAAGTCGTACGGAAACCCGCTCCGAGCGGCAGCGGCCCCTGTAAGGAGCCGGCTGAACTCCTCCCCCTCGCACCTGGCAGCGACGGGCGCTGCAGCTGACCCCGGCCGCCTCCTCGTCACACGCAGCCCTGCCAGCCGCTGTGGGAACCAGGTCACAGAGCCAGGCGGGTCAGGGCCGCCGGGTACGGCTGCTCGGCGCAGCCGCGAGCAACGAACTGCACGCAGCTCCCGGCCCTGAGCGGAGCTCTGCCTTAGCCCAAGCTTCCCCTCCTTGCTTTCTGTAGCTTGTCGCTGGCTGGCAAAAGGTAAAGAGGTAAAACAATCCAACAACAACCTCCTCATGTACTTCATGTACATCACAGAATGTCCTGACACTACACAAAACTACTGTCCTTTGGGCTGTCGCTGCCTTCTTCAAACTATTCACAGCCTGCTACGTATCTCCTATGTCACTCACTGCTTTAAATAACAGGCTGTGCACTGCCATCCTCTCTCCATTTATTGCTGTTCCCATCTCCTTTGCTGTCTATTTTCAGTTGCTCATTACCACCCCCACCCCATTCTTGGTTTCTAAAACAACAGCACAATTCCTCTATGACTGCCACCCCCAATCTGAATGTCTATCCCACCTCTTACTGCTTCACACAATGAACCTGCTGTTGCATGCACAGCTTCACAAAAAACTACCCACTGCTATTCCCACTCTGTTAACTGACCTCCCACGGCTCCCACACAGCCTATTTACTCCACACCACAAACAGCCCGCTCCCATTCACTGACTCCTCCATACTGGTGACCTGACCTCTCTCCGCTCAGTCAGATTCATACCATTCCACCTCCCGTGCTTAACTCATACAGTAAATTTGCCCCATTTCCCCAGTTGCTGTTTCAAAACCTGTTACTCGTGCAACCAAGATGATATAACCAACCATTATCAAAGCAGTTACCGTTCCTGTCTAAGTCCCAAAGGAAAGACATGGAATCAGATGATCTTTCAAATGATCAAATGAGTTGGAAGGGCCCTTTAAAGGACATCTGGTCCAACTCCTCTGCAATGAACAGGGACACCCACAGCTACATCAATTGCTCAAAGCCCCATCCAGCCTCACCTTCACTGTTCCCAGGGATGGGATATCCACCAGCTCTCTGGGCTGGGCAATTTGTTTCAGTGCTTCACTACCCCTATCATAAAAAGCTTTTTTCTTATACCCAACCTAATCTCCCTTTATAGTTTAAAACCATTTTCCTTTTTCCTATAACAACACACCCTGCAAAACAGTCTGTCCAAAATGCTCTCCTTTACACACTGGGTCTATCTTCTGCCATACCAAGCACACATGGACGTCTTGTGATTTGGCAGAGAACCTAGAGCAGAAAATCTATTTTTCATGTACAGAATCAACACAACAAAACATCATACATCCCTCTGCACTCTGCAGATTTTCAACCTGCGTAGGTCAGTAAGGGTAAGAAGACTGGCAGGGCTGTTTTGGCTTTACCTGACTGTCATTTTGCTGTTTGCAGTTTGTGGTAAGCTGAGGCGTAAGGTGATCTTCAGGTCTCTTCAATACACTGCCACAAAAGCGGATTCAAACCTACCCCCAAAAAAACACCAAAAAACAACAAATCAACAAAAACATCCATCAGCTGTGACATACTTATTCCCAGCATTTAAGAGCACAAAAAAAGTAACTCTTCCACACTGAAAATTTACCTGTACTGAAAAACTCAATAATGATTCAATCTCCTAACTAAAACTATGGCGCTGTTAAACTTAGGCCCTAGACAGTAACCAGTCTTCAGCTTTGCATTTTTCTTCGTGCTACAATTATCCAGTACAGTAAATCAAAATATTAAGATAGAATATGTAAAGTAGACAATTTTATTGTTCAAATAGAAATGATAGTGTATTTCTTCAGATTTCTGACAGAATTCTTGGGAAGGAGTAAATCGTTTCCACAGGCTGCTGCAAATGTAACAACTGTTTCCATAATCCCATACTGCACTGCATTATTGCATAATTACAGCAAGTAAGTACCTACAGAATCCAGTATTTTCAGCTCATTTTCATCAGTGATCATACATGCCTCATGCTGAGGCAACCACATTCAAGTATTGCATCATATTCTCCACGCTTGCTTTGTATGTCTTGGTTGTAAGCATATATGGTTTTCTCAGAAGCAAAGTATTTTATATAAAAATTGTATAACATCACGCAGCCCAACAGAAGATTAGAAATGAAAATTTATTTTCAAGACCAATGTGCAAAATTATTTGGTAGGAAGACGAAATATATTTTGTTATTAGCAACATCATTACTGTATTGTTTCTTACCACATTCTTGTATTCTTTCCTTCGAAACAAGAATGCTGGCAATGCATTGGCTATTGTATATCAGGAAATACTATCAGGAAAGAATGGAAATGGCATTTGTGGAAGTGGGAAGTGACATATCTTGTTAAACCAGGCATACTGGTTTGGCACACATTTCCATTATCGCGTTCCAATCATATTGCTGGGTGCCTGGGAATTACTGCCTTGACATAAGCAGTCAGGCAAAATCTGGAAAGCTCCACACTTTCTAGTGGGCAAAAACACTGCTGATGAATATGAATGTACGTGACACAGATGGTTACTTGTATTGAAAACAGTTGCTCTGATCACAGGGGAAATCTTGTTAGCAACAATGTCTTCTAGGCCTGTAAGGTGTTTCCACAGAGGAGGAATCAGTTCAGTTCCCCACAGGGGAGAGTTGTAAGCTTGGCTCTTAGTCTCTAAACTGGCTATCATCAGTGGATTCATTTTTAAGGAAAAACCTCACCTGACTCTTAAAACAACAGGTGCTAGCTGTCTGGAATCAAAGACTGAAGCTGCTTGTGTCTTCGGGCTGTATACAGCACTCAGCCTACAGAGGACACACTAACATGCCAACTGAAATTAACTTTCCACAAACTACACGGCCAACCATACCTACGTTTGTCAATGGACAACTGTTAAATTTGTGTACTGGTTCCATTACAGTCAATACGTAATTAGAACTAACACTTTGGAGCAAGTGCTGAGTTCAGGGTAATATTCACGGAGGGAAAGACTGATGGCCAGCAGAGATGACTAACACGTCATGTGACTAATGACTAATACGTACAGTGGCCTTTACCATTAGTGCCAATAAGCTGATGGCCACCAAACCAGAGATGCTCACTTCCAGTACATACAGTCGCACACCGCTTTAACTTCACCCCCATCTCCTTTCTGCACCACATCCCTCAAACACCCCCAACACACCTACGTTTCCATGCTGTTAGATACGCATCGACAAGCGCCGACGTCCTCACAGCCACAAGCACGGGCCGAAGCCTCCTGGCTTGGGGCGTCTCCCAACCAGGCCGTGCCTCATGCCGATCCTCCCACCGCAGTTACTCCGACACTTTACAGGCAGCGGCGGCAGGCGGTGACCCCGCGCCCGGCCAGCCCGCCGTTCTGAGAGATAGCCCCCCGTCCCGCAGGCACACGTGGAGGCACCGATGCTCCCGGCAGCCGTTACCGAGAGCCTCATACAAATCACCCGCACCGACCCGCCACCGTTACCCGGCGGCGGGCGTAAGGCGCACGCGCGCTGCCGCCTCTGCCGCCGCGCACGCCCGCGCTCCCGCACGCCCGCTCATGCGCACGGCCTCGCTTCCCCCGCGGGTCCGGTTGCATCACCCGGCGCGAGGGTGCCGGAGGCCTTCTCGGGGCTGCCCGGCGCCGTGCCTGAGCCGCCGTCGCCTCGCTGCGGGGCTGAGGGCGGCTCCGCGTCGCCCCGCGCGGAGCGTCCCTGAGCTCGGGCGGGCCTCGTCGGGTGGCGAGTGCCGGGCGTGGCGAAGGCGGCGCCGAGGGGAGAGAGAGGTCAGGCGGCCGCGCGGCCGGCCCCGCTTCCTCTTGCGGCCAAGATGGCGGGGGACGAGGCGGGAGTGACGCTGGGGCAGCCGCACCTCTCCCGGCAGGACCTCGCTACTTTGGTGCGGCGCGTGCGGGGGGCGCCCCCCCGGCGCCGGGGGGTCGCTGCGGGCCGGGGGGCGGCGGGCGGCGGGCGGAGCGCTCCGCGCCTCGCCACGGGGCGCCGCCGTCGCGAGGGCCGGGAGCCGAGCAGGCGGCGCGCGGGGGTGGCCGCGGCCGGGCGGCGCGGTGGGGCTCCTGTGGGGACCGGGTGGGTGCGTGGCTGAGGGGGAGCGGTGAGAGCTGGGCGGAGCGCGGCGGCCTTCCCTATGGCTGGCCGGCCCGATGGTGCCGAGGGCTCCCGCTGTGGTAAACAGGGCGCTGCGTCTTCGGAGCGGGCCGGCGGTGTGGGCTGCTCGGCGTGCCCGAGTCGGGTGGGTGTGCTGTGCAGAACTGTCAGGGGAGGCGGCTGTTCTTAGCATCGCAGAATGGTTTGCGTTGGAAAGGACCCTTAAAGGCCATCGAATCTGTCTGCCTAGCAAGGGGCAGGGACACCTACGGCTACATCAGGGTGCTCAGAGCCCCATCTGGCTTGACAGAGCCCGGTGCAGCTTGGCAAACTACAGAACGTTTTGAACAACTATACCACGTTTGGTGTTTTTTGTTTTAATCTCTTGTCACTATTCAAACTTGAGTTTGAATAGGAAAATTCTTTTTGTGTCCTAGCAAGTTTGTTAGTGAAGCACATCAGTAACTTCAGAAAGCTTCTTGACTTCTTTTGCTTTTTCACTGGGTATTTTGCCAGCTGGAAAGAGCCCAGATACTCCTGATTTTCTGAACAACAGGAATTACCATTCAGCCCCATTCTGTACTTTGTTCAGTGGGCCCTTGAAAGCCTTCAGCTCGCTGTAGCCTGTTGCTGAGCTTAACCTTATGCCAGCCTTGAAGGAAAATGGCATTTGTGCTGATTCTGTACTCGGGGAACAGGTCTCTTGATGGCGGGGTTTGCATCATTCAACGGTGCTGTCATCCTGCTGCACGGTGCCCCCTGCAGGTCGTGGGCCTACTGCCGGCCTCAGTGAGCTCAGGTGGTAAGTTAGCTGTCAAGAGGTACAAAAAATAGAGTTGTGGCAGGTAGAAGGAAACTGCTTTGTTTTGGACCTGAACTTATTACTCGTTTAATACATGAGATATAAGTAAGATTACACTTCTGTATGGTTATGGACAATTGTAATTATGTACAGAACCTGCTTGTGTCGCAGTGTAAATATCCTTTGATTTCACAAAGCTTTATATCCTGTTCTGCAGCAGACACTTCATGAATATTTGGTTGAACTCAGCAGCATCCATAGAGATCCACTGCAGGCTTTGAAATTACCATAAGCAGATTCAGAAAATGGCACAGAGGGATGTTTCAGTGGATTGTAACACTTGTGCTGTATCTGGACAAAGAGCTTTTCTGACGGAAAAGATAACAAAAAAAGCAGAACACAAAGCAACTGATTTGTAGGGTTGCTTTTTTTTTTCCCTGAAATGAACGTATCTGTAAGTGATATGACTTGCCAGCAGTTTTGTCTGGTACCTAAAATGGAAATAATGGTATTTGAGGAGAAGTGGCCATTTCAAATATTAGGCTCAGATCAGTGGTGCTGATAACGTTTCAGGACCTACTTGCTCCAAAGTGTTAGTTCTAATTACATATTGACTGTAATGGAACCAGTACACAAGTTTAACAGTTGTCCGTTGACAAACGTAGGTATGGTTGGCCATGTAGTTCATGGAAAGTTAATTTCAGTTGGCATGTTATAAACAATTTAATTTTGGGCATGGATGGGGTGTATTTTTTTTGTTTGAAAGTTTCCTTTTTTTGTATTTCTTGCTTCTTTTCTTTATTGCTTTACATCCTAATCTGATTGTAGTCTTGTTCCCTTTTTACCATTTCACATACTTAAGAAAACTGGAATGTATAACTCGAGTTACTTTAAGGGGTTTGATTGGATTTTGAGAAAATACTTGTAGCACTCTAAGCATTTTGATACCAAATGAGTAAATTGTAAAATCTCCTTCATACAGGATGTTACCAAGCTGACTCCTCTTTCACCAGAAGTCATCAGCAGACAAGCCACAATTAATATAGGTAAAAAAAAAACCAAAAAAAATCTAAAGAATGAATGGGGGACATGTTAATGTGGTGCTTCCTGGTGCTCATGTGTTAACGTATGGTACCTATGTGGAAAAATAAATTAAGAAATTCATACCTATACACAATGATATAGGTGAGGTATTTTTATTATTTTGTCAGGATGCAGGAAGAGACTTGTCAGACTCTTCTAACTTAAAAAGCACTACAGTTTTACTTCAAGAACACTACTTTGAATGAAGTGGGGAGTAGTTGCTACGAGAAGGTCTTTTTAATCTTTAAATTAGGAACTGAAATGATTTTTCACAGTAGTAAAAGTGTCTGTTGTGAGCTCATTCTAGGCTGTTGTTCGTTTAGACAGAGTAACGGAGGAATCCATGTGTATTTTGATGGCAGCACTGGGCTTACTGGCGCCAGAGTGTTTGGGTGATTGTGTTGATGGTCACTGTACACATTGAATAGCAGTTAACTGACAAGCATTTGCCTTTGAAACATAGGTACAATTGGCCACGTAGCCCATGGAAAGTCGACAGTAGTCAAAGCCATATCTGGTGTTCATACTGTCAGGTTTAAAAATGAACTGGAAAGAAATATCACGATCAAGCTGGGCTATGCCAATGCAAAGGTGAGTCACTGATAGAAATCGAGCAAGTACGTCTTTAAGATATTACAAGGTGGACATAAGCTTATCAGTAACTTAATGAATTAAACTTTAAAAAAAAATACTTACAGATTTACAAGCTGGATGACCCAAGCTGTTCCCGACCAGAATGTTACCGATCCTGTGGAAGTAGTACTCCAGATGAATTCCCTACAGATATTCCTGGCACCAAAGGGAATTTCAAACTAGTCAGGTAAATGCTGTAAAATTAGTGGTGTAAATTATGTTTGATTTAGTTATACTTTCTTTACGTAACTAAAAATAGTCAGGGTTGAGCTGCATGCTAAATGATAACAGCAGACCACGTACTCTTAGGCTCTGTAGATTGGATGCCCCAGATATGAGACATCATTTAACCTTTGTTGTTTTTATTCATTGTGGTGCATGATCTAAGGTAAAGCACAACTCTATTTTGTGTCCATGAGTGCTTTGCTCTGAAGTGAAACAATATTTTTTCCTGCTCTGAAGGTAAGTACATGTTAAAGCCACCGGAATAAAAACTAATGTGGGCCTCACATACTCATTCTTTTAAATTCCTTTTTTAATTGTGACCTTTCTCTTACTGGAGGCAGAAAAGTTTTCTGAGTTCCAAAAAAGAATGTTAAATAAAGCCTGATTCTTAATGTGAGATCAGTCCTTGTGCTGGAGCATAGGTGCCCTTTATTAATTTCATAATCATAGCATGGTCATTATACAAGTCTAGTAATCTAGGTAGTTGTTGTGTGAGTCTTTGCAGTGATTGAATGAGACTAGTCACAAAGGCTGTTGTATGACAGGATTCTTAGTTCAAGCGTCTGTATGAAATACATGCACTGCTCTAAGTGTGTATTTCCTTCTTTTAATCAGGTCTATGGTAGAGCACTTGTAACAGTAACTGCTGATGGTGTGTGACTGTTACGCAGTCGTTGTTAAGGTAGTGCTTAATAGCATTAGGTTCTGTATCTTGGTGCTTATTTGCATACAGTAGTTTTTAACTTCAGTTTACAAAGCAGCAAATTAGTTCCTTGCTCTTTGATGGTGTGTTACGTGGTTTCTTCATGGAGCGAATTGGCAGCAGAAAGCAGTGCATTGACTGTGATGGTCTTGCACAACAAAAGCATAAGGTTGGAGCTCGTGGCTGTAGTGTTGTTTCTGTGTGTAAATCTTTGAAGTGAAGGGCAGTTTTAGTCATACAATTAAAGGCTTACAATTTTCTTTGAAAATTTCAGAGTGGGAGACAACTTAAGAGATGGGAAATGGGGTACAATATGCTGTACCCTGTGAGTTTTGTTGTTGTTCTGGTGCATTTGAGTCAGTCATACATTTGTGAAATACTGCAGCAATGCCTAGCATGAGTATAAGGTATTGAATCATAGAACTCAAAACACAGAACATAGAATAGAATTACTGTTCTGTAGCCTTTCAGTAGTCTGCATTTCTACAAATGTACTTCTGATGTGTTACTCCTCAGCAACTGGTTCCGTGTTCCTGTTTATTTGCTTTATTCATTTATCTTAAGGACTCATTTAATTGATGTGTCTGCTTAGGCATTCACATTGACAGAAATTGTTGGTAATTGGCTTTTTGCCTTTCTCACTGTTGTCTACAACAGGCATGTCTCTTTTGTGGATTGTCCTGGCCACGACATTTTGATGGCTACTATGCTGAACGGCGCAGCGGTAATGGATGCGGCTTTACTGCTGATAGGTAAGGATTGCTGCACAAAAGCAGTGCTTCTCTTTATTTTAAATGCCATAGGTCAACTTCGTGCAGGTTTTGAAGTCAAGTGGGGTGAGGTGAGTTATTAAATGAATGCTTTTGAGATGGGTTTGAGAAGCTTAAGTAAGTGATTGTATAATGAAAATATAACCTAGCTAGCTGTTGTGTTTTTGTTTTTTTTAAACATAGCTGTACATACTCATTAGCCTG